GAGGCGAAAAGGGTTCAGCCGACGGGAGGCGTATGAGCCGACAATGGGGGTTTGATCCGGAGCGACTTGTTAGGCGTCAGATGTTTCGCTTTGGAGATCGGCCCCCAATTGCAAGGCGGAAGGAATGGTCGGAACATAGGGCTGCCGCGTGGAGAAGAAACTTCGGGTACATGACGCGGGACAAACCCCCAAATTTGCTGCATTATCGGTTGATCATTGGTGTGTAGGAGAAATAGGTGCATCTACACGTCTCCGAAACCTGTTGAGGTGTCATCGGGCTAGATGCATAGCGATTACGCTCCTGATGTTGTAGTCGGCTAGCGGCCCCGTCACGTGATGAAACCCCGCGAGCATGTCATCAATGAGGAAGCGTCATCAACCGCAATAGGCCCAGGGCGATGTTCCCGCAAGGAGAATCCTTGCTCGATAAATTGGGGAGAAAAGTGGGTGTGGGTTCCCTGCGGGCCGAAACGGAAATGGAAAGGAGGCTAAGATTTTCGCACGTGCCAAGCCGGGGGAGCCCTTGCCAATGACCTCCGATGATCTTATCCTGAGCACCCTACGCTAGCATCCAATTCCCCTTGTGGTGACAACTACGTGCCGGATCTGTACTGCATATCAGGTCAGGACGTACAGAAAGTATATGCAACATGTACAGGGGTGCTATCACGTACGTGCATACGCATACACACACGAGAGGGTGTAGTGGCTGCTTTAATTATTTTTACACTACACACCATGCCTTGAAGTAGCCATTCTGCTTCTTTTCAAACTGTATTACTATATCACAAATTTACAAACATGGATCTCAGCCAGCTAGATACTCTCTGTTCCGAACTCGCTCTTACTGCTAAGAGACTCAAAGCACTGTGCGAGAGCAGCAATCAGGGCAGCATTGCCGTCACCAAAGAGCCCACTACCGATGTCTTGGTTCCTCCAGCCAGAGCAGAGAACCTAGAGCATGAAATCGCCTTGGCACACAGTAGCCTCAGTGGAATATCCTCTCGCTTGGAGACACTTTTGGCTGGTCCTGCGAGCTTCATACAATCCCTAGCCACCCAGGTATGTCAGTAAACCTCCCTCTGTCATCTTGACACCAACCAGCTAAGTCTGTAATTTGCAACAGAATCAACTTCTAGCCTGCCTAAAATGGATGGGCGAGTATCAAATCATTGCCTACATACCATTAGATGACACCATCTCACTCGAGGAGCTTGCGAATCTAGCGGATGTGCCGGAGCATACGCTCAGCCGAGTTGTGAGAATGACTGCCACTGCAGGTTTTCTATACGAGCCTCAGCATGGGCATGTTGCACATACGTCTTTGTCGCTATCGTTCACGACCGAGTTGTCATATTTCGACGCTGCCATGTTTTTAGCAAACAAGGTGGCCCCAGCATCCCTCGATCTTACCTCTTTTGCAAACGAGCATGATGGCAGCGCAATAGATCTACAATCATCACGACTGTTGGACTTTGTCTCCCAGGAACCGCAAACGAACCGGCAATGGCAGGCCTACCGTCAGAGCATGGGTAGCATGAGGAACCAGCTTGCATATTTGCCAAACTTACTCAATTGGCGTAGCTTGGGAGATGCATGCGTTGTTGATGTGAGTGACCAAAGAACCGAGTTGAGTTGCTCTTGTGACTAGTCTTTGCTGATATGATACGACTGTGACAGATATGTGACAACGACGCAAGCCTGGCGCGGGACCTGGCCCAGACTGCTCCAGCCCTTCGATTGACAGTACAAACGTATGATTTCATACCCATTGACGCGCGTCTGTCTGGGGTTGGTAACGGCGACAAGGATTTGGTTACCAGCGAACGCATCATAGTACAACGGAGAAAACCGACCGCAGTGCAACCGGTAAAAGACGCAGCAGTGTATCTTCTACATCCCTCTTTTTGCGCAGCGAGCACACGTGGCTACACGGCCGACGATCTTATCACAATGGAGCTCAAAGCACATTTTAGTATTCTCCGAGCCAATCCGATGGCTTTGTTGATTCTCGCGCCGGCAATGTTACCTGAACCAGGGTCAGTGGCCATCAATGTCGAGACCCGAGTACGGCTTCTCGACTTCACAGACATGCACCTCACCGGCAACGGGGCCATGGAGGTGTCAGAACTTTACAAACTTACAGAAAGCATATCTGACGCACGCGGGAAATTAGTGGTCAAGAACCGCGTTCGGTCCGCCGACGGGGCTACTATTGCGTTAGTGGTCAAGTATCAATCTTGTGAGAGCGCTGAGCTCATCTAACAAACTTTACCGAGTCAATGTACATAATACCTTTTTTTTTTGAAAATCTACAGCGAAAATGTATCCACAGTGTAACCTAGTACCAATGACCTGTGCCATCCGCGTCCATGTGCCATAACAAACGGCCGTATCAAGGTATGTTTAAGTGGGGCGCGGACTTGTCGCTGTCACATCCCCATGTCTGGTTTAATGTGAGAAGTTATGCGATGTTTCCACATGTCGTGACTACAAGCATTGTAGCGGAATCGTTAGCTTGTTCGAGCGACCTGGGTTATCCTAGTAGAAGGAAAAGCGACATCAAGGCAAGCTTAGCTCGACTGGCCCTGGTAGGCATCTTCTGGGGTTCGGCGGGCCCCGTTGAATTTCTGCCAGTTGAAAAGGATTTTCAACGGAAATGATGCAATCAGATGCCGATTAAATTCAGATCGCGCATATTGCGAATGTGATGCTTCTCACAAGGATTCCGCCACGCCCCTTGGGCAACTAGAGTTACGGGTATCTCCACACTGCGTGCTCCGAAAAGGATCCGATACGAGAAGAACGGAGTGGCCCGGTGCTTTCCCGCGGAACAAACGGCCTTGAAAACATGGCTACGGCCAAATGTTGGTTAGCTTGCGAATATACTCCCCGAATCGCGAGGTAAGATGACATAAGATACGGCCCGATTTGTACTACTCACTGGGTGGGGGTTCGCATCGGAGCCTCCGCATCTCAGTACGTATACTATTGCATCAATGGTGTTGATGTAATCTTCCGTGGGGAGGCAATGTAAGCTTCACGTGGCTGATGTGGCGTACCATGTCTCCCACGAGGGGGTTTTCACGGTCCAATGTGCTGGTTCACGGTAGGATGAGGCAGTTCTCGGGACCCGAGTACAGAGTTTCGGTTTCTCCGGACCATATAGGAAGGGGAACCTGAACGGGGAAAAATGGAGCCATGGGATATAAACGGCAGCTGTTTGAGCAATTCGTTATACATTTGACACACCAAGTCTCGTTACGAGCCGTCAAATCATTCCACTTCGAGAAAATGGCGTCCAACGGGCATCGCAACAAAGGCCTCCCGCCAAGCAAGTATCTCTGTCTTACTATTCTCGGCTACCGTAAGCCAGGATTAAGCGAGGAGGACTATCGCCGCCACATGATAGAGGTATCCGCTCCGCTCACCAAGGATCTCATGGCGAAGCACGGAATCAAACGTTGGACCGTCATCCACAATCCGCAAGAAACGCGGGAGCTCATGAGTGAGCTGTACGACGCACAGATGGCAAACGTGGCCGACTACGACTGCTTCAGCCAAGTCGTGTTTGAGAGCGTGGAGGACTACAAGAAGCTGCGAGAGGATCCATGGTACAAGAGCCGTCTATTTGGAGATCACGAGAAGTTTGCCGACACTAGGCGCAGCCAGTAAGTTTGTTGATTGAGCAGTAACCCAAGGCGGACTGCGACTCAGGGCTAATGGTTTGTAGGATGACGATTGGGTGGATTGAGGAGTGGGTTCACAATGGCCAAATTCGGGAGAGTATGGATGCGCCATGGCCATCGTTGCAAGGCTAACGATTTTGGCCTAGCCAATCAGTGGGCGGTTTTATAGTGTAATTAGTCGACTAGTAGCTAGATTTTGCCGTGTCTGGCTAGTATATCGAATGCTTTGATGACGGGTGGCATGATTTGCTGCCACCCAAGGATGTTCTTGGCCCTTGTTACGTGAAACTGTAGTAGTCTTGTGTGACAGTGAATGTACAAGTGCCGCAATACCAAAAAAAGGACGCAACAGCTGTGCCAAGGTCAGCATAGTACACGCGCATAGTAGTGGGTGTCTTTTCTAATGAGGCGGAAAACTACCCTGCTGACATTAATGAGGGACAGCCCACTGGGATCCGCTCTGGCACGGCGAGGCTGAAAGTTGGAAGAAGGAAGGAGAAAGGGCGAACGGTGGGATGGGTGGGATGGGTGACTAAGGCTGGCGCGCATGAGGCTAATCCCGAGACAGCGGCCGCTAGTAGGATTACCCCGCGATGTTTCCGAGACGACGGGGCAACTCACTTGCACTCACCACCAGCTAGGCACACGTAAGGGTCCAAGGCAAAGGATCCAGGATCGCCGGGGTCCAAAAAGAGCGAGGATGCACAATTGCAAGCAGGCTTGGGAACACGTCGGGTGGGCCCCCGGTCATGTTGGCGGTGGTACTTTGGGGCGTTCTCGACACGTGCAGGGCGACGGCTGAGTGCTAGGAGCGTCTTCGGCAGTATACGGTTACTTTAGTGGGCAGTCCAATCAATGCCCCGGCGACGTCCTGGATGTGCAGGGCCCGATGAGTGGGTCTTATCAGGGACGTGGGCAGGGTGCATACAGAGAGGTATGTTTTGCGGTTTGCCAGCCACTGGCGACGAGGGTGACCCGGCCGCTGAAGGGCGTCAGGCCTGCGAGGCTGTCGATTTCATGCACGATCCCAGGAACCATATAGCCGCACGATCGATGATTTGGACGCAATCGAGGCGACAGTGACACAAGTCTGTCGCCAGCGCTGTGCACGAGCCGTGATAGGCGTTGGCTTCCCGGGCGGCGCCTGTGTGGGATTATCATCTTGGAGCAGTCTGGAAGAGGCCATGATGGATACTAAAGTGTGCACATCGTCCTGACCGTCTAGGTACATACACACATGTAGACGGTCATCTGCGCTTCCACAGGGCAGAGAGGCAGTGTTGAGATTGAGAGATGTCGACCACCACCATCACCGCCGCCTCCCCGACCACGACCGGTGGCTCGCGCCCTGCTGCTGCACGTCCCAGCGGCGGCCTCAAGGTGCGCGACTGCTGCCAGGCCTGTGCCAAATCAAAAGTTCGTTGCACAAAGGAACGCCCGTCATGCTCTCGCTGCGAGAGTAAAGGCATCGAGTGCCGGTATCTGCACTGCAAGCGTCCAGGACGGGTGCCAGGAAGTAGTGCACGTCGTGCAGCCTCGCTCTCGACCGACCAAACCAAGAGCCGGGCAGCCGGGACAGCTGATGCAGGCAACACCCTCGACCATCAAAATTCTCCGTCGCCCTCGCCACACGCCAGCACTACAGCAGATCATGGAACCGCCTCGCTACTCCTATCGCCTGCATCCTCGACGACACTCTCGTCTGACCGGGCACAATGCAGCACCAGTGCCCACCACCGCGTCGACTCGTTCCAGACGCACATGGATGCATCCGACGCATTGCCCTCAGACTTCTTCCCACCCTTCAATCTTGACAGTAGCAGCTCGACTAATGGCGTATGGGATGACTGCCTCGACACGCTTGCCGCCATTGATGCGCCTATGTATACCGATCTCATGGACTGGGACCCTTCTGCTGCGCCCATGTCGACAGGCTTGTCACTCGACTCCACCTTGGGCCTGGATATGCTAGACGGCAGCACTGGCTCCCAATCGCCGTTTGATCTGTTGATTCCATCAACTAGCAACTTCTCCACCGAATCAAGCTCGCGCGCATCTTCTTCGGAATCGTTAATGTCATCAGCATCTTCAATGCCGCCATTGTTTTCGTCGGCATCTTCTTCGACATCATCATCGGCATCATCAGCGTCATCGTCTTCGTCGTCAAGGCACCCAAGTCTACCGAGAGACGTTGTTGCGTTAACAGCCCTACCGGGTGGCCAGACATGCAGCCAGCCGGCGCATCCAGAAGCAGTAAACTCGACCGTCTTAAAAGCGGATAAGGGGATGAACTGCAATTGTCTGCACAAGGCACTTGATTTGTTCAAAACCATAACTCAAAACCCCTGCTCAGACCCATCTGCGGTGTCCGGGAGTCCCCTGACTCAGCTCATCCTGGCCAAGAACAAGCAAACGATTCAGGCCATGCTTGCCCTGGTCAACTGCAACAACTGTCGCGACGACAAGCTGCTCATTGTTGTCGCACTGCTCATCACTATGAAGATGCTATCTTGGTACGCTTCTGCTGCGGCGCTGACGGGCGGGCCTGGCGTTGGCGCTAGCAGCGCCATGGACAATGTCCCCATGACTAGCGGGCACGGAAGCCCCATAACAGCCACACCAACGGCAACGGGCCGCCATCAGCCTTGTCATCGACAAGCGAAGCAGCAAGTCTTGCGCGAACTGCATTCTGTACAACGGTTGATAACTTCACTTTCAGCCAGGCTAAAAGGCCTCGACCCTCACCCTGCTGACTCATTCCTGGCGCAAAATGAACTAGAGCGCAGTTATTATGGCCGCAGGCGCACAATGCCCACGACGCTCTTTCGGCCAAATGCCATTGATCCGGCACTCGTGCCTCTCTCAGCCCGTACGCTCGAGGCGGTCGAAGTCGACGCCCGCAGTAGTCTCGGCTTTCTGTCTGCAGCCGTGAGGAATGCGCTCAAGGAGAGCTGAGTTGGTGGCATCGCCCACTTCACCATATCCATGTCAAACGCCGTTTAATACGTTGTCTCCTCTTTTTTCTTCTCCTTATCTTTTCCTTTGTATACGGTGCTGGCTACATTATACCACATTTCCGGTTTTTGGTGGGATATGATATGCATTCTCTTTTCATGCATACCCTCGTTGGATCTGTACCAGGTTGTGATTCTAGGATGCGACGCTGCAGGTAGTGGCACAAAGAAGTTTTCATTGGCACGGCATGCACCTACATAAGTTGTAGGGCGAATGGCGCAAGACATGGGCGAGGCGCTGCAAGACGTTTATATTCATCGGTCTCTATGGTCAGTTACCCACTCGTGTATAGTAGATAGAGTCATAGACATGACGGTCATGGTGGCGGTGAGGTACGTTTCATGCACATGTGCGGCACATATAGCAAGCCCACACCATCGACGGCGATGGTCTGCATCAAATGTAGATGGATACATGTCAAAAGGCAATTTCACCATGAATCAAGGCACTGTGTGGTGTTGTGCAACCGATCGATGCTTGGCTGGCATGCCGCAATTTGCTGGTGCGTGTTCGCTTCTAGGCAATGATCGGCGGTACTCGTGGCGGCCTCGGTGTCCACGGGTCCCGCGGCCATGATCGTCACCACCTCCCACCCTCCGATTACGTCCAAGGCCTGCCGCCAAACCCTGTACATTTGCCGGGCCATCATGTTGTAAACGCTTGTTAGTGCCCGACAATCACATGCGTTAGGCTTCGCTCGGCGCCCGCGGTGTCCACGTTCTATGTACCAGCTCGTGTACACGCCGCCGCATTGGTCGGATTACCACCACCGTATTGCAGCCTCATGCCCTGGCATTTTCCACATGTATCCGATCTCCAGATTGGTGATCCTTTCTCACCATCGAGATGTCCGATACACTCAATCCTTACAAAGTTTGTTATAATATATGTCTTGAGCAACATGTCCCAGGCGTCCACTACTGATTCATATCACCTGCTCTTTGTCATTCTGGCCTGTTTGTTACTCGCATTATTGTCCGACTGAGGTTTTTCACTATGGACGCCCAGGGCAGACCAGCCCCTGTCCCGGGAGAACTGGCCGGCAGCGATGTAAACGTATCCACTCAGTCCTTCATCCCCCCTTCGCCCACCGAGAAACACCAACAAAATGAAGTCAAAGATTTGGAAGACGGCGCAGACCAGAGTTCAACAAACACGCAAGTTGAGCAATGGAGGCTGGCTAAAGATCTCAAATACTTTGACATCAACAACCAAGCCAGCAGCCGCAAGCTGGGCGTCACATGGAAGAACCTCAGTGTCAGCGTAGTTCCTGCCGACGAGCGATTCAAGGAGAACATTCTCAGCCAGTTCAATCTTCTCCAGCTCATCAAGGACTTTCGCGCAAAACCAGCCCTGAAGCCCATTCTCGAATCCAGTTCTGGATGTGTTCGTCCTGGAGAGATGCTTCTGGTTTTGGGGCGCCCAGGCTCTGGATGCACCACTTTGCTCAAAATGCTAGCCAACAAGCGTAATGGGTATGTGCCACACAGTTGAGCGCGCTACAAAGCTGACCATGTCCTCTCAGATATGCACAAGTAGATGGCGAAGTTCATTATGGATCTCTTAACGCCGAACAAGCCAAGCAATACTCTGGTAGTATTGTTATCAACAACGAGGAGGAACTGTTCTACCCAACCCTAACTGTTGGCGAGACCATGGACTTTGCCACTCGTCTGAACATGCCTGCTAACCTCGAAGGAAATGCATCCAGCCGCACCGAGGCCCGACGCAACTTCAAGCAATTCCTCCTCAATTCGATGGGCATTGCACACACAGAGGGTACAAAGGTCGGTGACGCATACGTACGAGGTGTCTCTGGTGGTGAGAGAAAGCGAGTCTCTATTATCGAAACTCTAGCGACACGTGGCAGTGTTATATGTTGGGACAACTCAACACGAGGCCTGGATGCCTCCACTGCTCTCGAGTATGTCCGCGCACTGCGATGTCTGACAGACACCATGGGTATGTCCACCATCGTCACTTTGTACCAAGCCGGCAACGGCATCTATGACCTGTTTGATAAGGTCCTCGTTCTCGACCAGGGCAAGCAGATCTACTATGGTTCTCGCGAGGAGGCCCGGCCCTTTATGGAGAACCTTGGATTTGTCTGTGGAAATGGAGCAAATGTCGCCGATTACCTCACTGGTGTCACTGTGCCCAGTGAACGACAAATCAAGCCTGGCTTTGAAACCACCTTTCCTCGCAAGAACACCGACATACGATATGCCTACGAACAGTCGACCATCAAGGCCAAGATGGACCAAGAACTCGATTATCCCTTTACGGAAGAGGCTAAAGCCACCACAGAGGCATTCGTCCAATCTGTCCTATCGGAGAAATCAGGACAGCTTCCAAAGTCATCACCCATGACAGTCTCGTTCCCCGATCAAGTCAAGGCTTGTATAGTCCGTCAATATCAAGTCCTGTGGGGAGATAAGCCGAGTCTGATCATGAGGCAAGCGACTAATATCATTCAAGCTTTGATTTCTGGATCGCTCTTCTACAATGCACCAGACAACACTGCTGGTCTGTTCCTCAAGTCCGGAGCTCTGTTCCTTTCTCTGCTATTTAATGCTCTCTTCACCCTATCAGAAGTCAACGACTCGTTCGTTGGTCGGCCCATCTTGGCCAAGCAGAAGAACTTTGCGTTTTTCAACCCAGCTGCTTTTTGCATTGCCCAAGTCGCAGCCGATATCCCCATTTTGATCTTCCAGACCGCATCTTTTGTTCTTATCGTTTACTGGATGACTGCGTTGAAAGAGACTGCAGCAGCATTCTTCACAAACTGGTTTATTGTCTACGTCGTCACTTTGGCCATGACTGCAATGATGAGGACAATTGGCGCAGGCTTTCCCTCGTTCAACTCTGCATCCAAGGTTTCGGGCTTCGCCATCACCGCGACAATTGTCTACATGGGTATGTGATCGCTACATCTTCGACCAAAAACATTCACTGATTTGTATAGGATACGAAATACCGAAGCCTGACATGCACCCATGGTTTGTCTGGGTCTACTGGATCAATCCTTTGGCGTATGGATTCGAAGCTGTCATGGCAAACGAGTATGAAGGAACCACCATCCCATGCGTCTACGACAACCTCATCCCGAACTATCTACCTCAATACCAGGATCCAAGCGCACAATCTTGTGCAGGTATCCGCGGTGCAAGACATGGCGCAACTTCGCTTAGCGGAAAAGAATATCTGGACAGTCTATCCTACTCTCCATCTAACATCTGGCGTAATGTGGGAATTCTTTTCGCATGGTGGCTTCTATTCATTGCCTGCACAATCATCTTCACACTTCGCTGGAACGACACCTCTAGTTCAAGCACTGCCTACATCCCACGCGAAAAGCAAAAGTACGTCCAGAGACTTCGCACATCTCAGACTCAGGATGAGGAATCTCTGCAAACCGAAAAGATCACGCCCAACAACGACACGCTTGGTACTACAGATGGAGCAAATGATAAGCTAGGTACCAGTCTTATTCGCAACACCTCGATCTTCACTTGGCGCAACCTGACATACACCGTCAAGACTCCTTCAGGTGACCGTACTCTTCTCAATAATGTCCATGGTTATGTCAAACCCGGTATGCTTGGTGCCCTCATGGGATCTTCTGGTGCTGGCAAGACTACACTTCTGGATGTTCTCGCCCAACGAAAGACAGCCGGAACGATCAAAGGCGAAATCTTAGTTGACGGTCGACCCCTGCCAGTTTCTTTCCAACGATCTGCCGGTTACTGCGAACAGCTTGATGTTCACGATGTTTACTCTACTGTACGAGAGGCTCTTGAGTTCTCAGCCCTACTCCGCCAAAGCCGCGATACTCCTGTTGAGGAAAAGCTCGCATACGTGGATACCATCATCGATCTGCTTGAACTACACGACCTTGAGAATACGCTTATCGGAACTGTGGGTGCTGGACTTTCGGTCGAGCAGCGCAAGCGTGTCACTATCGGTGTTGAACTTGTTTCCAAGCCATCTATTCTTATCTTCCTTGACGAGCCAACCTCTGGTCTGGATGGTCAGGCAGCTTTCAACACCGTTCGCTTCCTTCGAAAACTCGCCGACGTCGGTCAAGCAGTCCTAGTCACCATTCACCAGCCCTCGGCCTTGCTCTTCGCCCAATTCGATGTTCTCCTTCTCCTCGCTAGCGGCGGCAAAACCGTCTACTTTGGCGAGATTGGTGACAACGCCAATAAGATCAAGGAATACTTTGGCCGCTATGGTGCACCTTGTCCCATTGCCGCCAACCCAGCAGAACACATGATCGACGTCGTGAGCGGCTACCACCCCAGCGGCAAGGACTGGCACGAAGTCTGGCTCAACTCACCTGAATCCGCCGCCCTCAACAGGCACCTCAACGAAATCATCTCCGACGCCGCCAGCAAAGAACCCGGCACCAAAGACGACGGCCACGAATTTGCTACAACTTTCTGGACGCAAACCAAACTCGTCACACACCGCATGAATGTCGGCTTCTTCCGCGACACGGCCTACTTCAACAACAAGCTCCTCCTCCACGGCGGCGTCGCCTTCTTTATCGGCTTCACCTTCTGGCAAATCGGCCCCTCAGTCGGCGACCAAAAGTACATCCTCTTCTCCATTTTCCAATACATCTTCGTCGCGCCCGGCGTAATCGCCCAGTTGCAACCCATCTTCCTCGAGCGCCGCGACGTCTACGAGACGCGAGAAAAGAAGTCAAAAATGTACTCCTGGCAAGCCTTCGTCACCGCCCTCATCGTCTCCGAAATGCCCTATCTCGTCATCTGCGCCGTACTCTACTACCTCGTCTTCTACTTCGCCTCGGGCCTCCCCACCAATCCCAGCAGCGCAGGCGCCGTCTTCTTCGTCTTCCTTATCTATCAATTCATCTATACCGGCTTCGGCCAATTCGTCGCCGCCTACGCCCCCAACGCCGTCTTCGCCTCCCTCGTCAACCCTCTACTGCTTGCCGTCCTATGCTGCTTCTGCGGCGTCCTCATCCCCTACGACAACATCCAGGAATTCTGGCGCTACTGGATTTACTACCTCGATCCCTTCAAGTACCTCATCGGCTCCTTACTCGTTTTTACGGATTGGGACTGGAAAATTGAGTGCAAGGAGAGCGAGTTTGCCATCTTCAATCCGCCGGCTGGTGGTAATCAGACTTGCGGCGAGTACCTGCAAGCGTGGCTTCAGGGGCCCGGTGGACGCACGAATCTGGTTAACCCGGAGGCTACGGCTGATTGTCGCGTTTGTCAGTATACCTGGGGTAGGGATTACCTGGCTACGGTCAATCTAACAGAAAAGTATTTTGGATGGCGGGATGCGGGTATTTGTGTCATTTTTTCCCTGAGTGGGTATGCGCTTGTTTATCTGTTTATGAAGTTGAGGACTAAGGCGAGTAAGAAGGCGGAGCAGTGAGAAGGGTGTGTGGGGGTTATGGATAATTGGCGAGAGATTGGGAAAGAGAAGGGGTACATGACTTGAATGTTTTCCTTTTCCTTTGCTCGTTACTGCGGCATTTGCAGGCGTTTTCATATTTGAAGGACGAGGTAGTTACCTGTTTGTCCTTTGATGATACACATGTTTTAATACCAATTTTTCTATAGATTAGGATATGAGATTATACAATTGCATAGTTTTTTTTGGATTTCAAGGCAATTAATGGTGCATATGGTGCTGTGCGGTTGCATTTTCATAGACGAAAAGATGAGATTGTGGATTGCTACGAGAGTTGCATGCTTGAGTTTTCTTTTGTGTGTGTGAGAGAAGGAAAATGTTCATCTTGTGAGTTTACGGATATACTGTTAATTGGTTGGGTTGATGACTAAGAAACCCGTTGTGTTATGTCGGGGAATGCTTTTCTTTCTTTGCAATCTAAGTCTGCACGATGGTACTCGGCACAATCTGATCGTACCACTTGCTCCAGCAGCACAATCTCACGCTTATGAAAAAAGATTTGTTGCAAGATAAAGTTTTAAGAAGGCAATGATTTAATATTTAACTTCACACACTAAACCACTCTCTGCAACGAAGATCTTTTAAAAAAAGGAAATCATGCATTCTAAAAATCTATCAATAACTTCGCATTTCGATGAAATACTGCTTGAAAAATCCTTCTATGCAGCACCACCATCCAGCGTAAGAACCTTGCCATTAACCCACTCGCCCTCTTTGCTAACTAGGAAACCAACCACATTCGCCACATCCTGCGGGAACCCATTCCTGTGCAACGGCGACGCATGCGCGGCCATCTCCTGACGCTGCTCCGCTGTATACTGCAGCCCATTCGGAATATAATGATGCGAAACCTCATGAAACATATCCGTCACCGTACCTCCAGGGGCAACCGCATTAACCGTAATCTTCTTATCGCCGCAGTCCTTGGAGAAGATGCGGACAAAAGAGTCGATGGCACCCTTGGACCCAGAGTACAGCGAGTGCTTCGGCACGCTAAAGTCACGGGAGGTGTTTGAGGAAGTGAGAATGATGCGACCGCCCTCAGTCAAATGGCGGTATGCCTCGCGGGCGACGAAGAACTGGCCACGCGTGTTGAGGCTGAAGACGCGGTCGAATTCCTCTTCGGTGACATCTTTCAGGTGTCCGAAGCTCACGACTCCCGAGTTACTGACGGCGATGTCGAGGTGGCCAAAGTGCGCGACGGCTTCGTCAAAGAGGCGCACAATGTCTGCGACTTGGCGGATGTCGGCCTTGATAGCGATGGCGTCGCTGCCCAGGGCTTTGATCTCTGAGACTACTTTCTCGGCGTCTTTGGTCGAGTTGGCGTAGTTGACGACGACTTTGGCGCCCAGACGCCCTAGATGCGTGGCTACGGCTGCGCCGATGCCGCGGCCGGAGCCGGTGACGAGGGCGACTTTGCCGTCGAGGCGGCCGGGGATGTAGGTGGAGGGGATGCTGTCTACGTGTGGCATTTTGGAGATGGGGGTGATGATTGAAAATGGGGGAGAATGAGAGGTAGAGAATGGATCTCGAGATTAAGGTGCTTTTGGATGGTGTGTGACTGTGAAGTGGTAGAGTTTATGTATACTCTATATACTCTATGTGCTCTTGCTAGGCGATAGAGGCCGTATATGGATTATGAGGCGGTCCATTGTGTATACTTTCCAGCCTTGCTTACTTGCAGCATACCGCAGCAAAGGCACGTACACAAGTTCAGCATTGGTCCGACCTCCGATGTTTAGGTTTTGAGGGTCGTGGTTGTTGGGTGTGGTTGTTCCAGGGCCTCGAGTTCATGCGTCGGCACGGAACGATGGGTTTGTCCCGATCGGGGGTCGTCGGAACGAGCCAAGTCGTTCTGTGCAAGGCTCAATACCAGGGCTATCCTAGATCGGATTATGATCTTCGAATCGAATAAGCGCTAGATGGTAATAATGTTCCATAGAAGAACTATGATTTGGACTTGACAGCCACTTCGATTCGGAAAGCCAGTATGCGCTTCAATTCCAGAGATCTATGTGCCGGTGATCGGCACGCCTGATGGCATTCTCTCGGTGGATCTTTTCAGCCAATGGACCCGTCATGATGCCTATACTCTCCATAGAACTTCCAGAATCGTTTCTATTAAATGCCATCGAGAATGAATACCAAGAGGTTGAGTCAGTCAACCTCCAAAGCAATTGCTAGACCAAGTGGAGCGGCTCTCTCCTCAACGTAATTCAAACATACAATTCATACTCTACCAAAATGGTGTCGTACGCAGTTCTCGGTGCCACTGGCAACTGCGGCACTGCCCTTCTCGAGCTTCTCATCAAGAACACTGATGCCAAAGTCAAAGCCTACTGCCGCAACAAGGACAAGCTCTTTAGGCTAGTTCCAGAAGCCGCAAACAACCCCAGGGTCGAAGTCTACACTGGCAGCATTCTAGATGCCGATCTGCTCGGCAAGGCAATGTACGGCTGCAAAGCCGTCTTTCTTACAGCTACTACCAACGACAACGTGCCTGGATGTCACATCAGCCAAGACCTCGCGCACACCGTCATCAAAGCGCTAGAAAAGACAAAGGCCGAGGGAAGCCAGGCTCCACCAATGCCAAGACTGGTGTTGCTGTCCTCCGCTACCATCGATCCTTGGATCAGCCGAAAGAACCCTTGGGTCAACGCCATTGTTCGTCGATCTGCATGGCACGTGTACCGGGACTTGGAGCTCGCTGAAGAGTTCCTACGTCAGCACGAAGACTGGGTCAAGTGCGTTTATATCAAGCCAGGCGGCTTGTCGGTGGATGTGCAGAGGGGCCACAGGCTCACTTTGGACGATGAAGAATCGTTTGTTTCGTACCTCGATATTGCGGCTGGTATGATTGAAACGGCGGAGGACGACGAGGGCAAGTGGGATAACAAGAATGTTGGAGTTGTGAATGCTGGTGGCAAGGCCAAGTTTCCCAGGGGTACGCCAAAGTGCATTATCTGTGGATTGTTGTCGTATTATTTTCCTTTCTTGTACCCCTATTTGCCATCTGGTACGGGGCCTGCGTAGTTACACCATGTCGTTTTGGGTTTTCTTGTAGTGTATGTTTGGCTGCCAATAGTGTGAATAATGAATATCAAATTGAAATTATGTCTTGCGAATATGGTCGTATGCAGTTTTTGCAACAATGAAAAAAATGTCTCAAAGTCGTGTTTCACAAATATCATGAAAAGATACCAAGTGACAAGCAACTGTGTGAAGTGTGTCATCAAATATAATTCCTATCTTCTCTGCAGACGATTTAAATCCACTCATAGTCGGGAACGAGGTTTTTAGGATTTATAGACTTTTTCTTTGTATTTAGATGTACATATCTTCGAGATTTCTATATGTTATTTGCAGCCCTTCCCTATCAACCCATGGCTTTACTTCTCCATAGACAGTGTCCAACGCCTCGTTAATACGAAATGGAAATTCCTTACCCTCTCATCCAATGAACAGTGGTTTCGATTGCTCCGACTCCCGACTCCTGAAACTGGGTTCGGGCGAATGCTAAGTCAGCTCGGTTCTCGATATGTTCCGATGCCAAGCCTGCGATCGCAACAGGACTGTAGAGAACCAGCCGGTGTCCAACCGTCACAACTTGGAAGAAAATCCTACAAAAACGTACGGTTATGGATGCGATTTGAGAATTGTATTGAGTAAATAATCAAAAATTAACTGAGAAGAAATTCGTAGGGTAACACCATGCCTCACAAGACAGAAGTCAGACCAGCACCAGCAGGTAAAACATCGATCCCAGTCACCTTGAATCTGTAGCCCAATACTAACATGCTAGCTACAGATATCATCGAATGCCAAGCTGCAGCGTACGAATGGGCTGAGAGCTACGATAGCAAAGACTGGGACCGTCTTTCAAGATGCCTCGCACCGGAACTCTACGTAAGTGTTCCAATCCATATCTTATCTGCGAGTCAGCAACTGAAGTTATCCCAAGATTGACTACCGCACCGTAATGGGAATGATGTGGGAGAAAATGCCAGCCGCAGAGTTTCTCGGTATGGCGTCTAGCCCAAGGTTTCTCGGTAACGCTCGCATCAAGACACAACATTTCATGGGCCAGACAAAGTGGATCCAAAAGGAACCGGGCTACATTATCGGACACCATCAAATGCGTGTAGCGCATCAGAAGTATGAGGATGATGCGCTTACGCAGGTGCTATACAAGGGTCATGCGCATGGCAATGCTACTTTACATTATCGTCAGGTCGATGGCGAGTGGAGGTTTGCGGGCCTTGAACCTGGTATTAGGTGGTCGGAGGGAGACTACGGGAAGATTTTCGAACAGTGATAGTACCGCGGGAGCGGGAGTAGTATAATATGAATAGGACATATTTGGCCAGGCATTAGCGCGCTGTAGCATAAGGTTCCCATATTGTCTCAACAAATACATTAACCTGATATAGATTACTTAAGCTTAACGGGGTTTTCAGTGCAGTCCATATACAGTGAGTATTCCGATGTCGATAGTACCGTATCTCAAGCATGATCAGATCCTGGAGGATGTGACTTGTGTACATTTTGCATCGGTTGGAATTTACCGTCTTCAATTTCGTGAGGCAATACTTTGTGGCTTTTCCCAGGATTAGCCTTACAATACTCATGCATTTCTTACTATTCCCTTTGTGTTGGTTCAAACCCAGGGTGCGCAATGACCTTCTACCACGTGCATATGCAAAACATCTCGGAGAACGATCTGCTTGCGTACGCATGTACGTGTGTACATACGTGTAGCAAAATCTTCTCACTTACTCGTGAAAACTCCTGAGTCATGGTCAAAATGCGAAGGAGAGCGAAGCCTTCTGCTTACGAGGCAGTCTAATCCATACATCGGGCCGATTATGTGCATTTCTAGTAGTACCGACACGTCAGGAAGGCTAGAACAGTGCACCGAGAATTCGTACGCGAACAAATAAATCAGATGACCAATGGTATCTTTGGCATGCTCGCTAGTATCACTCGGATTTTATTGTGCTTATGCTAAGCCGCTAGGTGATGTCACTATCATGCAAGCTTGAACTAACGCGATTGCGATCCTCAGCTATTCAGCTGTTCTCCACTCTTTATCCACCTTCTTAGGGTACTCCAGATAACCAAGACCATGACTAACTCCCTGCTTACACTCTCACTATCGTTTCGACCAGCTTACGCATGTCATTGAGACCTTGTCCGCTGTCCATCTACATTTCCATAATCGCCGGGTCAACCCCTGCTTTGTAGCTTTGCGACAAATGCGATCAGCGAGCCGATCAACGGCAACGTCGCGCGAACTGCATGCCACCGAGACCACTCATCTAGAGACTTGTGCAGGACCTTGCTGGTCTCATGGTCCATCCAAGCTCCCTCAGCACCCCCACTCTTTTCCTTGCCCTTTCCTAGATTCGCAATCGATGCCTCAAGCGGAAAGATCATTACTCTTTCCCACCATGCTACCTGAAGCAATGTAACAAACGAGGCTACAAACGGCTTCCATTGTGAAGCTACATTTGGATCAGGGTGTCGCGAAAGCAGAGCGGCCGTTATGCCGAACATAAAGGCAAAGCTCGCGTTCAATGGCTCCAGCCAAGCCCCGCCACGTCGGGATGTCTCCAACAGCTGTGCGATGGCGCTTTTCGATGGGTTCAACTTAATGATCGGCACGACCCACAGGTTGAAGGACCATGCTATGCCTAAACAACATGTTAGATGGGTACAATTCGTTACCCTCCGTCCTATTGAGAGAAACATACCCGATACAATGAACAATGAGACGATCATGCCCCAATGTATGAAAGGTATGAGATAGAACGCTGTATCCAAGGCAGCCATTGTGAACGAGAATTCACGCCAGGGTATGCAGTATGAGTTGTAGCACAGGGTTGTAGTACTTTGCTAACTTGCTCAAAATTGGCTATGTGATGAGCACCAATAGCACTATGCAGAGGAAGGAATACTCCTAGAGGAATGATGATGCAAAGAATCGGAGACGTCAAGAGATAAGGAACAATTTTCGGACCCCTCCTTTCTCCTTGAAATACTATCAATCGCGGTCATATTGAATTGCTTGAATAGTACTCAGAAACCGTTTGAAAAAATTGCCTAGGTTGTTCTAGTGGCAAGCGGTAGAAAGTCAGGTGGATTGTTGCGCCGATCCACATTGTTCCGAAGTCCATTCGCGAGTGAGATTTCCTCCGAGGGCCGCAACCAGACCTACCGATGATCAAAATCGAATCGCATACACAGCATTCGAGCCGCAAATCAGGGCGATGTGATGAGAAAGGCTCCGCAGATGTTCGCTGTCTGATGCAAATAAGAGGCGTGACGACGACAGCTTGAGTTGGATAGTTGCATCACATCCAGTGTTAATCGACGCAGCTACTACTAGCATCCCCCGATAGTCACAAAACATATCCAATTCAAGATCAATTCATCCGAAAAATGGAGAACACTCTAGTTCAAGTCGCGCACGCCTGGGGTGTAACAGGCGCAGCACTTTTGTCAGGTGAGTATGCACATCACGTGCAAAGTGGATTCGCTGCGTAAATCTTTTTTGTGATGCGATTTAAACCATGGCGGAAAACGATCGAAAGAGAAAACTTGGAAAGACTAAACTAATGCGGGGTTTTGCTAGGCTTCATCGTGTGCTTCAGTCATGCCGGAGTGCCAACGCTCAGCATAGCTCCAGTCGACACGCTCGTGCATCAGTTCAAGACTATGTACAACATCGGAAAAGCGACATCGCCTCTGATTGCCATCACTGTCACTCTATGTAATGGCTACTCGGCCTATCGTGCTAGAAATGACACCGAGCTGATCGGCAATGTTGCATCACCGTTTGCCTTGTACGCAGCAGCAGCGTTCGTTGTACCTTTGATTGTCCCCTATACATTGCTGTATATGGAGCCCCAGGTTAACAAGAAATTGTTGACACTGGGGGGAATGGTCGAGCAGGGGACTCAAGCGAAGGATCTTGGGGTGAGCGATGAGGAGGTCCGAATCATATTGAAAAGGTGGAAGGGGATGAACTTTCTTCGAGCAGCACTTGTGGCTATTGGTGCTGCGCTCAGTGCTGTCGCTTCCTTCAGTTAGGGAAATTATACGCTGTGTTCTCGATTTCGGCGAGTGTTTGATCAAAGGAGTATGGAAATGGATAGAGCTATGCATATGTACTAGAGTGTCAGTTGGTATAGTTTGAATGAATTGATTTGTTGGGAATTCGAACTTTTCAACATGAAATGACCCCGTATAAACGTGATATTTCGATGAGTAGAGACCTGCCCTTTTCTTTGCATCCGCTTTTTTTCCGTAAGTATTTTGGATCCTGGATGTTTTTCTCTTTCTTTTAGTAAGCACATGGAGACATAAGGTTTCTCATAACAACTTGCCTATCCTTACATTAGACAAAACCAAGTATAACAACCTACCATCACACTTCTTGAGTACAAACTAAGTCCCAGCAGCGTAAGACTGTATGCTCAACTTACAATTTAGGAAATCATTATCACGAAGTCATAGGTCGAAAGTATCCCGCGAAACATCTTGGAAGAAATTACTTCATATGGTACGTTCTGTCTAACTCGATCTAAAAAAAAAACTCTGGTATCAAGAAAATGCTCAGCCGAAATCTAACCAAAGACTTAACATCAAGCACTGGCGCGTGTGACAGGGTACTGAACCTGCCGCATCGCACCCGCCGTTGATTGCTCATTACCAATCAGAAACCATTTTTTCTGACCAGCGCGAACCTGGAAACCCACTTTCCCATCACCCGCAAGTTTTCGAAGAACTTCGTCGATGAACGGCTCCAACGCTAACGTGCGCGTAGTCTCGTCCACCGAGTTTCCGTAGATATTTTCGACAATGTCGCGAACGACTGGTCGGTTCTGTCCATAGTCGCGGAGATTGCGCAACGCCCTAATGACTTGCTTCTCTCTCCTGTATTTTGACGACAATTCTCGATTGATCTTCATGTTCAGATCATCGATAGTAACGCCGTGGGCGGGGTGGCCAGCTCGACATTTCTGATCCATCATCTTGTGCAGACTGGACATGAATATGCCCAAGTCTTCTACCGCGCTTGTTCCGGTGCCGAGGATGTTGTCTCCAGTGAACATGGAGTTCTCTTCCTTGAGTATGAAGCACATGTGATCTTCTGAGTGTCCCGGGCAGTGCAGTGCCACAACAGTAGCACCCTCGACACAAAATTCTTGCCCTTCGTGGATATCTTGTTGTCCTGGATCGGGATCGTTCTTATAGATGTGGTCTTTGAGGTGCGGGTACATTCTGATAAGGTCCGGTACACCACCGGAGTGGTCGCCATGCCAATGTGTTATCAGAACATACTTGATGCTGATGTTCCGGGACTCAAGGGTTGATGCAAGCAGTTTCGCATACTCAGGCTCTCCTCCAGACGTATCAATTAATATGCGAGAAGATCCAATGCCCACTAAGAAAGTGTTGGTGCCTTGGAAGGTGAACTTTCCCGGATTTTGCCCCCGCACTCGTAAAACCCTTTCCGTCACTTGCTCCACATCAGGTATAGGGTCTAGATTTGCGGTCTGGCCCTTCAGATAGTCCTCAAAAGCGCAAATGTTGAGCGATTTGTTGATCTGCTTGTAGCCCCCTTTATCGTCCGTCATGGCTGAACTGGTCTAGATGATGATGAATATATGATGTTCGAAATGAGCGCAAGAGGATTGGAATATAAAGATGTTTGAGGAGAGGGTTATATGAGTGAGAGTATGTATGCACTCTGCTCTGAAGTACAGACATCTATCTCTTCTCCACGGTATCCTTTAAATCAGAGGAAATAGTTATCGTCATAATGCTAATTTTCCACCACATTCTATATATCAAACCGAATTAATTCCCATTGGTTCGCATTACATACCACTAGTTCGCGATGCGCATTGGAAACAAGGAGGAATCACAGATCGCGGGAGTTTGTAACGAGTATTCCGAAACATTGCCATCACATTTTGCATCGCTTGTCTCGGCTCGACTTTCTGTAGAACGCGTTGGTGTGGGATTCGGGTTGATGACGGGGGCCTAAGATCGCCAGAAGCTCACTCGGTGGAATAGTACGGCACGTATCCCAATCCGGATCATTCCGAATGTTCCGTGGCGCAGAACCCGACAACGTGGTCGACACTTTCCAAATTCATTATCGGAGATCTCTGGGTAGTTCTTCCGAGCAATGATCTCCTATGTCACGTGTATCGTAGTTGTGCTCGAGTCCGTTCTGACTAAGCAAGCTTAACTGGACATCGGTGGAGTCGCTCGATAGTGTGGTATAGCCCACGGGTCTTGCGTGTATACGCATACCAGAAGCGGTTGAATGTACTGAGGTTGCTATAGACCGAGGTTGGTTGGCATTTTTGAAACAAGATGGATTGAATACATATATCTCTAGTTACCATACTCAGAATTCCTCACTCCAAAACCACCATCATTTCCTAGTCTTTTGTGTTTTCATGGCTTTGGAATAGACTCTTGTTACTTTCTAGAAACTCTTTATAGGGATCTGCGTCATCATGGAGGTTGTATATTTCAGTAACGAGTTCCCTAAAGATGATCTTTCGGAGATATTCAGACACTTGCACAACCAAAGCAAGACCATTGAGCACGAAGTTCTAGCCCGTTTCCTCAGAGACGCAACAAGAGCCGTCAAGAATGAGATTGAAAAACTTCCATCAAATTTGAAAAACCAGATCCCTACCTTCGAAACTCTCATCTCTTGGGTAGAGAAGAAGGAGCTCCGCGAGGGGGAACTATGTGGCGCAGTCGATGGAGTTCTGCTGATACTCGTTCAACTCGCAGTTTACATATTGTAAGTTCTTTCAAAAGAAAAACTCTAGTCTCTCACTGACTCTCACAGTAATGCTGAAAACAGCAATGAGTCAACATTCTCGCACGATGAAAAGCATCTCACGGGCTTGGGTGTCGGCTTGCTTTCGGCAACCGCGGTTGCTCTAGCTCGAGACATTTCCGAAGTAGCTTTCTACGGTGTACAGGCGATCACAATCGCCTTCCGCATGGGAGTCCATGTACAGGGCGTCTCGCATTATCTAGAAGCTCGAGACCCAACTGAACCCCCAAAGACATGGGCTTATGTGGTCCATAACGTTGATCCTCAGGAGACGAAGAAAGAGCTTGAAGCATACCATGAAGCAGTCCCCAGTTCGGATACCAGCCGTATTTTCATTAGCGCCATTAGTCGAACATCTGTAACAATCAGTGGCCCGCCTTCAAAACTTGAAAATCTCTTCAAGAAAGCCACAGCATTCAGAGATGCCAAGTCCATTGCACTACCCGTTTATGGAGGTCTCTGCCATGCCCCCCACGTCTACGACTCTCATGACATAGAGAATATTGTTCAAGACGTTGTCACTTCATCAGATCGATTTGTTTCGCAAAACGAACCAACATTCCCACTTTTCTCAACAAGCTCCGGTACTCCATACACAGTATCCAGTCCCGGGGAACTGATCAAGAGCGTTGTAGCAGAGCTCTTGACAAAAGCTATTGAGTGGGACAAAGTCATTGCACAGGAGGTCGACTATGCCAAGCAGAACAACCGAACTCAAATCAGGCTCTCTTGCTTTGGAAACTCTATTCCATTGAACGATTTGCGTTCTGAGTTGCAAAAGGCTTCCAGAGATACTTCCATATCCTTAAACAATTACATGTCGGCACTTCTCAAGGATGCTACTGAGAGTAAAGCCCCCCGAGGTCCAGCACAATCCAAACTCGCCATTGTGGGAATGTCTTGCAGACTTCCAGGCGGATCAACGGACACCGAGAAATTTTGGGAAGTGCTCGAAGCAGGGCTTGATGTGTCACGCCAGATACCTGCAGACCGATTCGACATCAACACGCACTATGACCCTGAAGGCAAGGATCTCAACAAGACGATGACCCAATACGGATGTTTCATCGACGAACCGGGCATGTTCGACCCGAGTTTCTTCAACATGTCACCTCGAGAGGCAATGGCTGTTGATCCTCAAATGCGACTCTCGCTTGTAACTGCGTACGAGGCATTGGAACGGGCAGGCTATGTCGCCAACAGGACCCAGTCAACCAAGCTTCAGCGCATCGGAACATACTACGGCCAAGCAGCTGACGATTACCGCGAGGTCAACCAAGGACAGGAAGTCGGAACGTATTATATTCCAGGAGGATGCCGTGCTTTTGGACCTGGTCGCATCAACTACTTCTTTAAATTCGCCGGCCCTAGCTACAGCATTGATACTGCCTGCTCATCAGGACTTGCGGCCATCGAAGTAAGTAGACGATTTCGCGTGTCGTTGACAAAATCGTACTGACAATCCTTCAGGTTGCTTGCCAAGCTCTCTGGAGTGGTGAGGTTGACACTGCTGTAGCAGGTGGAGTCAACATCCTCACAAACCCTGATGGTTTTACTGGTCTCTGCAAGGGCCATTTCCTAACCAAGGGCCACAACGCCTGCAAGACTTGGGACGCCAGTGCTGATGGCTACTGCCGCGCGGATGGCGTGGGATCAGTCGTCATCAAGAGACTCGAAGATGCACAGGCTGATAAGGATAATATTCTTGGTGTTATCCTTGCTGCAGGCACCAACCACTCAGCAGAGGCTGTCTCTATCACCCATCCGCATGCAGGACACCAAGCCTATTTGTCGCGACAGATCATCAGGCAAGCTGGTGTTGATCCACTAGATGTTTCATATGTGGAACTCCATGGTACCGGCACTCAAGCTGGTGATTTTGAGGAGATGAAGGGTGTTCTAGACGTGTATGCTCCAAACACCTTCCCTAGCCGCAGGGCTGATCAGAAGCTCCACATTGGAAGCGTCAAGTCGAATGTCGGCCACGGAGAATCAGTGGCTGGAACAACAGCACTTATCAAGGTCTTGTTGATGCTGCAGAAGAATGCCATTCCCCCACACATTGGCATCAAGACCGAAGTCAACCCACGCCTGCCAAAGGATCTGGATCAGCGAAATGTCGCAATCCCGTTCTCGATGACCGAATGGAAGAGCGATGGCAAGAAGAAGCGTATCGCAGCTGTTAACAACTTCGGAGCTGCCGGAGGCAACACCATGATGCTTTTGGAGGAAGCGCCCCCAGTCGTCGTGGTACGCGAGAAGGAGACCAGGCCAACGCACGTCATTGCAGTGTCTGCAAAGACCAAGACCTCCTTGCGCAACAACATCAACCGCCTGCTTGTATATCTCGACAGAAACCCAGATGTCTTCATTTCGGATCTCGCCTATACTACGACTGCGCGCAAGTACCACCACTCGTACAGGGTCGCAGTTAGTGCTACGGATCTTGCCTCAGTGAAGAAGCAAATGTCAACGCAGCTTAACAAGGTCGACTCATTGAAGCCTTTGAACAAGACCAACCCACCATCAGTGGCATTCGTTTTCACTGGTCAGGGAGCCTCTTACCAGTCGATGGATCTCGAACTGTACCACGAAGCCCCAGTCTTCCGAGAGCACATCCAATACCTCGACAGACTTGCTCAAGCCCAAGGCTTTCCTTCTTTCATCCCAGCCTTGGATGGCTCTCACCCACGCGATCACGAGCATCCTCCTGTCATCACTCAACTGGCACTGGTCTGTCTTGAGGTTGCTCTGGCCCACTACTGGGCCTCATTGGGCGTCAAGCCTGATGTTGTCATGGGACACTCCCTTGGCGAGTATGCAGCTATGCATGTTGCTGGAGTCATCAGTGCCAACGATGCCATCTACATGGTTGGCTCTCGGGCTTTGATGCTCCAGAAATCATGCACACCACGTAGCCACTGCATGATGGCCGTACGCGCGTCTCTCGACTCTATCACCGGCGCGTCGAATGGCAAGCCACACACTGTTGCCTGTATCAACGGCCCTACCGACACTGTTCTTAGTGGTACCAAGGAACAGATGGATGACATTGCTGTAGATCTCGAAGCAGCTGGGTTCCGCTGCATCAAGCTCAACGTGGCGTTTGCATTCCACTCTGAGCAGGTCGACCCGATCCTCGATGAGTTCGAAGCGATTAGCAAGAGCGGTGTCGTTTTCCACGAGCCCAAGCTGCCTGTTGTCTCACCCCTTCTCGGTAAGGTCGTGTTTGACGGACGGTCGCTTAACGCTAGCTACGTGCGAAACGCTACACGGGAGACGGTTGACTTCCTATCTGCTGCGAAGAACGCTTGTGATGTGTCAATCATAAATGAAGAGACTGTTTTCATGGAGATGGGACCTCACCCCGTCTGTGTCGGTTTCATCAAGTCCATCTTCCCATCGACAAAGACCGCTGTCCCATCCATTCGCCGTGGAGACAACAACTGGAAGACCATCTCTGAGAGCGCAGCAGCTATCCATCTCGATGGCGTTGATGTGGACTGGAATGAGCTCCACCGTCCTTTTGCAGATGCAGTGCGTCTTCTTGATCTTCCGACATATGCTTGGGACGAGAAGAACTACTGGATTCAGTACAATGGCGATTGGTGCTTGACCAAGGGCAACACCTTCTACGACAAGAAGGTCGAAGCGGCAGAGCCTGCAGCTGGTAATACCAAGAAATACGAGTCTTTGAGCTCCTTGGTACAGAACATCATTTCAGTCGATGTTAATGGAGACCAGGGCACTGTGGTCATGCAGTCGGACTTGATGCAGAAAGACTTTTTGGCTGCTGCCCATGGACACTCCATGAACAACTGTGGTGTTGTTACATCAGTAAGTTAAAGTTTAATACTTTCCGGTACATCACTCGCTAACAGTCTTGCAGTCTATCCATGCCGATATTGCATTCACTTTGGGAGAGTATCTTTACCGCAAGTTCTACCCAAAGACAAAGAGAGTGGATATGAACATGAGCAACCTGCATGTAACCAGTGCCTTGATTGCCAAGAAGCACTCCATGGACACTCCCCAGTCCATCCAGGTCACTGCCAGCACCAACGACATCAAGAGCGGTACTCTCAACTTGACATGGCAAAATGTCGAAGAAGACGGAAGCCTGTCGGAGCCGTTCGCAACCGCCAACCTCGAGTATGGCAACGCAGACGAGTGGCTGTCGAGCTGGAGTCCCATGGCGCATCTAGTCCAGCACCGTATCGAGTCCTTGGAGCAGCTCGCAGCCGAGGGCAAGGCCAACCGCTTCTCTCGCAACATGGCCTACACTCTCTTCGCAAAGAACCTTGTCGACTACGCCGACAAGTACCGCGGCATGCAGTCCGTCGTCATGAACGATCTCGAAGCCTTCGCCGAAGTGAAGCTCAGCGACAAGGTCGACAACGGAACCTACACCGTCCCACCCTACTTCATCGACAGCGTCGCCCATATCGCCGGCTTCATCATGAACTGCTCTGACACCATCGACACGACAAACAACTACTGCGTCACCTCCGGCTGGAAAACCATGCGCTTCGCCGAGCCCCTTACCCCCGGCGCACGATACCGCTCCTACGTCAAAATGATCCCAACCAAGGACGACCCCTCCGTCTATCTGGGCGACGTCTTCATCCTCAGCGCATCCGACAACTCCATCGTCGGCATGGTGGGAGGCATCCACTTCCGCCGCTTCCCCCGCGTCCTCCTCAACCGCTTCTTCACCGCGCCCCAACCCTCCAAGAGCGGCGCTCAACCCGCCAAATCCAGTCCAGCACCCGCCGCCCCTATCAAGCCTGCTGCAGCACCCAAGGTCCAAGCAGTCCCCGCAGCTCCTGTCGTATCCGTCGCTCCTAAAGAAGACGACACCCAGTCCTCTGCCAGCGACACTTCCGACCGCGATACCCCCTCCGAAGCCTCCGTCAACACATCTGCCACCAGCGTCGATGTGCCCCGCGCCGCCAACAGCACCGTCGACAAAGCTATCGATCTTATCGCTAAGGAAACTGGTATCGACACTGCTGAGTTGACTGACGATGCAGAATTCGCAAATTTGGGTATTGATAGTTTGATGTCGCTGGTGCTGTCTGAGAAGTTCCAGAATGAACTGAATGTCAAGGTTAATGGAAGTTTGTTTTTGGATTACCCCACCATTGGGGATTTGAGGGAGTGGTTGGAGAAGTACTATGGGTGAGGGATGTTCCGGGTAATGTTTTCCTCAAATTGTCTGTTTTTCCCTTTCTTCTTTTTTGTTTATTAGACGGTTTGCGTGGTTTTTTGGTTGAATCTTTTGTTTGTTTTGCATTTATTTCCAAGTTGGGGTTTTCCTTGTTAGATTGTGTGATTTGTAAATAGTTAGTTGGGTAATGCGAAGATTTCTTTAGACTTGACTTGGTCACTGGCTATTGTGGAGAACATTGGGACTACGCTCCGTCAACTAACTTATTAAGAGGATATTGACAACAAAGTTTTGAAACATATCACACGCCTATTCTGTTAGTAGTACTGCACATACCACTCTGAAGAAGTGAGCTTTGTTGACGAATTCCAAATTCAGGTTTTACTTCTTAGAGTCAAGCATATACTTCGCCTGCCTCTCATACTTCGCTAGCCGCATCAGCGCTTCCTCACCTTCGCGAAGAATGGTTTTCTTGATTTCCTCGTTTCTAGGGGTAAATTTGACTTTGAAAGGCTGAGGACGCCAATTTGATCCGTTTCTACCTTTTGTTAGTATCGTCTCTAGATCCAATTGCCTCTTCATGAAGCCCTTACGTATAGCTGAAAATATCAACCGGTATCTCTTTCCCCGTCTTCTCATCGGTAGCAGGCTCGACGCGATAGGCCCAAAGCAAGCGCGCAACACTGAGATGCGTGCCCTGCTCAGCAAGGGCCTGACCAGCACAACTCCTTCTCCCCCATCCAAACGTCATGTATCCCTTCTCTCCCGGAAACGGTCGTCGATCTTCCGTGTCGAGGAACCTTTTCGGGTTGAACTGATCAGGGTCTGGAAATTCGTGCTCGTTGTGATGAATAGCCCATACATTTCCTTGTATCCAAGTTCCCTTGGGTATGTAGTAGCCGTTCCAGTAGTCATCTTGGGTCGGTGCGTGAGGTTTTCCTCCGACAACGGCTACTGAGCGCCAGCGAAAAACTTCTTTGGCAAAGGCGCGGACATAGGGCAATTCGTCGTCGAGCGAAGGACTTCTCGAGTAGCCTACCACGCGATCGAGTTCGTCCCAGGCAGGCTTCAATGTCTCGGGGAAGGCGCGCATAGCCATTATAGCTGTGATGAGAGTACTACTGGAGGTATCGGCGCCTGCGCCAAAAAGATTGGAGACAAGACTGGAGACTTCACCGCGGCTAAGCTTGTGTTGTGGTGCTTCGCGAAAGAGGAACTTTGCGTAGTTTTCGTCTGGAGCATCCTGTGCTTCTTCGGCTAGGGTATAGAAGAAGTTCTCACGACCGTACTTCGTCTTGCTAGACTGTTTCACGTTGCGTAACCAGGGTGCGATACTACGGGGAAGCTTTACTAGCCCTAAAATTATATTAGAGATTTTTTAAAGGAAGGCAGGAATACTTACAAGGAAATGTCTCGATGATCCGTGGCCAGTCTTTTGCCACAACAGCGAGGTGAGCGGCATGTTGCATCTGAGCTATGACTTCCGTGATCAATGTATCTTGACTATTGGAGATACGTCGTCCGAATCCAACAATAGAGACAACGCTCGCCGCATAGCGTTCGAAATGTGAAGCAAATAGCTCGGGTGTTTTCAGGAGATCATATACCACCACTTTATTCTCGTCGTCTTGAAATTTTCGGTATTGTTGAACCTTTGATAGTCAGTATTGGCCAAGTCACCATGTGAACGACGCACTTGTTGTATTCCAACGCCATGATGTGTGATTTTGCGCAGGACACGGAATCTCTCTCGCTGCTCGTTGGTGTACGTGTATTTGTGTATGAGATTGTCTTGTCCATTCATCAGCTCACCAAACATGAGCATATGTGGTCTAGAGTTGTAGATATTGGAGCGTTTGACAAGGATCTCATCTGCAGCCCATGCATCGTTAATCCAGATTGTTGGTCGTCTACAATTGATCAACTGTGTTTTCACGTAAGGTCGCAGTGAGCACTTACCGTCCAATCCAGAATGTAATCACTGGGGATTTGCAGTCTTTTGAGAGCTGTTCCAGCATGTACCAAGGTTTCTCTTTCGGTAGACTGAGAGTGTTTCCGACTATTGGCCAGGGTAATGGGCCAGGTGGCTGTTGCTTTGTTAGTTTCGAGTGCATCAAGTTATGAGATTGATAGCATAAGATGTTACCATCTTTTTTCTTAAATACAGCATGCGACTATAGTCAACAATTATGGCAGTGATTCCCAACACAACTATGCAGGCGGGCAACAAGCCCAACGGCTCGAGAAAGAACCAGACTCTTTGTTTAGCAGAATCCATGATAAAAGTTTAGGCATGTGTTTGCCCTGTGCGAGTAAGCTGAAGTGCGTCTAGGACACAAGATATATATTGCGGGGGTGTGGATATGGGGCTCTATTACTCCTCACTCCCGCTTGGCACTTTGGTGGGGCAGCATTAAGTTCCACAAGTTTATTTGCACCATCTTATCAAAAGACGTGACAGTGCTCAGCACGAACAGTACACTACTCAGGGATATTCCAAGTATGCGTTAAGTACGGCCTTTTTTGACGAGGGGGTGCTTGCATACTTCCAAACGGAAGTAGGCGGGATTGGAGACACTCGGCACGTGACTAGATCTCTTCACACAGGACTTCAAGATAAGAGTTCCCAGTGCATCTTGAGATGGTTTCGTGCTTGTAAGTTCATCAGTGTTTTCTTCTTCGTAGAGCACTGTTAGAATAAGAGTTTGTTCGCTCACTGTCAGTTGCCTTCTTGTACGTTCTTGTTGTTCACCCACGGCTCGCATCGGTATTTCTTCACCATTGACATTTGAGCTATATTGTAGTCCAGCGAGGTTCAGATATTGTTCTGTGTCTATTCGGGCTATATCAAACAACCTACCAAAGAGCCAAAAGCAGCTACGCGTTACCTTCATTCTACACTACACAGTACCTGACTCGATGACGTGAGGCATCCTTCCGGCTACGCGTCTGCTTCAGGCTAGCGTCGATCGTTGGTTGATGCGACGTGGATGGCCTGGCGCGCTTGCGCAATAACAATTTCGGGTTCAGACGTCGCTCAAGCATGCCGCGTAAACCTCGTATCCTTCCTGCACGACGGCATCAACAGTTGTTGCCAGTATGAGTGCCTTGGAGATATCTAGCGAAGTATGCGACGTCCCAAATGGCACCCATGGCACAAAGCGTAAGTATCCACCTACGCTATGCAATGCAATGCACGACACACAGTCCAGGCCAAGCACTGACATTGCCACTGGCGATAGGTCGCCGGAGTTCGACTGTGCTTAACCCAAGGAGTTATGTCAAAGAGAAGCTTTGGACACAAGCTCCAGTATTTACGGGTAGCACAAACTTTGAGCCACTTGCAGACGCGAAGAACATATTGATCACTGGTGGCGCCGGCTTCATGTACGTCGCATCGAAACCACTGGAAGCGCGACCTGTGCGTCTTTTCGAACCTGTCGCGAGCGCAAGACTGATGTGGACACAGAGCCTGCTGGTTCGTACGCCATATAGTCCTTACGTACCCCCACTATAATGTGGTTTCCTTGGACAGATTGGATTACTGCGCAACACTCAACAACACGCGCATTCTCGATGGCCGACCGAACTTCACATTCGAGCAAGGTGACATCACCTCGCCCGCTACTGTGAAGCGTGTGCTCCGTAGGCACAAAATCGACACCATTGTCCATTTTGCGGCGCAATCGCATGTTGACCTCAGCTTTGGCAACTCGTACGAGTTCACGCACACAAATGTTTATGGAACACATGTGTTGCTTGAGAGAGCAAGGGAACATGGTGTCAATAAATTCATACACATCTCGACAGACGAAGTATATGGTGATGTGCCTGTTGGTGCAGCGGACCTGAGCGAAACGAGCATATTGGCACCCACAAATCCATACTCGGCCAGCAAAGCGGCGGCGGAGATGATGGTCAGCGCATACCGGAGCAGCTTCAAGCTGCCCCTAATTACAGTCCGGGCGAATAACGTATACGGGCCACATCAATTTCCCGAGAGTAGGTGACGTTTCCACCCCGAAAATGACGCGCAGGTCTGATAGAGATGTAGAAATTATACCCAAATTCATCATGCTCCTACAGCGAAAGCGGAAGCTTCTCCTCCACGGCGACGGCTCACCAACGCGGCGTTATCTCTACGCAGGCGATATTGTAGATGCTCTGGACACCATTTTGCACAAGGGTGACATTGGGCAAATTTACAACATTGCCTCCAAGGACGAGATATCGAATACGGAGATCTGCTATCTTCTCCTCGATAATTTCGGCATCCCGCGAGATACGAAAAGCGAATTAACACAATGGATTCAGTATACCGAAGATCGCCCCTTCAACGACCAGCGGTACGCAACAGATGGTTCGAAACTTGCTGCGCTGGGATGGCAGCCCAAGACAAGCTTCGATGAAGGCCTCCGGATTACTGTGGATTGGTATCGTAGATTTGGCGAAGTGTGGTGGGGCGATATCAGCCGGGTTCTGACGTCTTTTCCCGTGGTAACAGGAAATGAAATCAGGACAAAGGAGGAGCACGAAGACTTACCATCGTCTGACGGTGAGGGGACGCACGAAGAAGATAGTGCAGTATGGACAATCTAGCAGACGTTCTGGTTGGGCATTGGGCGTTAGGCGATGACGGGCGACGAAACAAAGGCCGTGTTATGTGTAGTAGAAGATGGTTGCGACAAGAAGCAGCATTTAGATACCCCGATCAAGGAGATAAAACATACTACTAATTCGCGATTAGTTTTTCTCTTGCTCTATTTTTGAGCACATATCTGCTTTGTTTTCGGTCTGAATGTGCATGTCCACCGGGGCCTTGCGTGAGTGGCACGACCAGGGTGGCCGTAGCAATATGCAGGGACCAGAAAGTTATGGGCCCAAGCAGCCCAACCCTTCAAAGCGAAAACCGCGAGGCTCTCAGTGGCGTTCGTCTGCATTGGCAATTCAAAGGCACAATGTTCTCAATTATTTACCAAGGAGCAGGCATCGTCATCGTATGATCGGCGTTGCCCGCGAATGTCCGCGTACACTGCCACAACCAGAGCGGTGGCGTACCTGAACTCCGCCTTCTAGGTAGCGTCAGCTTCTGGGCGCTTGAATGGATTGAAACACCAGACGCCCCGGCCTACCGTCGCTCAAACACCCCTCATCTCCCGTGCAGCCTGTGTATATATACACATATAGAATCAACGTCGCCTCTTATTTCTCAATTGCAACGCCTCGCTATCCCGTCGTCACCTTAGAGCGCGACATCTGTTGTTGGCGCAATCGATAAGACGCACCCCACAATTAACTAGCTGCCTTTCCCGATCCATTCACCCCTACAACGACCCAACACCCATCCTCGATCCAACCTCCACCTCGCCCGTACAAACACCGTCTTTACACTTTCCACTAATACCCTCGTATTCAAATCAAACGTCTCCGCTTTCTAATACATCATCATGGGCTTGTTTGGCAAGAAAAAAGACAAGGGTGGTGAGGCTGAAGACAGCAACCGCTCCGCCCTTTTCGGCAGCCGCAAGGGAAAAGAGAGCCCAGCAGCTCAAAACCCATATGCCGCCCCTCCCGCAAACGACCCCTATGCCCAGCCGCCTCCCTCATACTCTGGCGGCCAGGACAGCTCTTTCCGACAAGAGAAGACGCCAGCGGTAACGGGACCTGGTCAGTCCTATGGACAACGACCTGCTGGCTATGGTGCTCAAGGAGGTGGCTATGGCGCACAGTCAGGATATGGAAACGACCAATATGGAGGCGGTCCACCCCAGCGTCCTGGTGGTTACGGCGGACTCGGCAGAACTGCCTCGAACGGCACCATGGCCACCGATGCCGGCCGTAACGAGCTTTTCGGTAATGCCGCCCAACGACAACAAGGACGCCCACAGCAAGAATCGGGCGGTTATGGACAGAGTGGTGCCTATGGTGACAGCCAGAGCGGCGGATACGGCGGTGGTGCTGCCGGGGGCTACGGCTCTACCCCTGGCGGCTATGGCACCTACGAGGACCGCCAATTGACGGCTGAAGAACAGGAAGAGGTCAGTTTCCCAGAATCACTCACTCACAATACGTGCGCTGACTTTGTGCCTTGAATACTATAGGAAGATATTAATGCCACGAAACAAGAGATCAAGTTCATCAAGCAGCAGGATGTTTCTAGCACAAGAAACGCTCTGCGTCTGGCTGAACAGGCTTTGGAGACTGGTCGAGGAACTCTGTCCACCATGGCAGCACAAGGAGAGCGTATCCATAAGTACGGAAATACCAACAATATTCTTGTGCAGCAACTAACATGGTCGTAGCACCGAACGCAATCTTGATCTTGCTTCTATCCAAAGTGATAGGGCTTCAGGACAGACTAAGGAGCTGGCTCGTGAGTACCTGATCTAGTCTGAACCCCCTTCAATATCGATACTGATTTGTTCTAGGAATCAACGCAAGCATGTTCTCCATTGTACCCAACCCCTTCACCGGTAACTCCAAACGCGAGAAGGAAATGCAACGAGCCATGGACCAACACACCCGCGACCGTGAGACCCGCGAGGCAACAAATAAGGCTGCCTGGGAATCAGCTGCACGTGCAAACCAAGCACAGCGCGGAATTCAAGGTGCTGGTGCTGGGATCGGAGGCAACAAGGCTTCGCTTGCCCAGCGATCAAAGTACCAAATGGAGCCCGACTCTGAAGACGACGAGATGGAGAATGAGATTGAGAACAACTTGGGTACGTGCTTTTCTGCCGTTCCATGCACATACATACGTATGATGGAAATAGAAGTGCTAACGTGAAATGTAAACAGATCAACTACACATTGCAGCCAAGAGCTTGAACCAGCTGGGTCGCGCAATGGGTACTGAAGCCGATAAGCAGAATGAGCACATTACTCGCATTACAGGCAAGACGGATAATGTCGATGACAAGATTGCGAGGAACAGGCTCAAGCTGGATCGTATCCATTAAACTTTGCTGTTTCAACTCGTGTCGATTATCCTCGAAAGTACATGTCCTGGGCTGCGCACATGTTAGATAGTGGAAACGATTTCTCTCTTTTCCCCTACTTTGGAACAGAGCAAAACAGAAGAATGGAGAAATGGTAGAAATGAATTGCATCTTGGTGTTTGGTCCTGACAATCTGTTCACCCAGTTTGCAAACTGACATTTGTAACAAAAATGTCTTTATTGGGCATTTACTCGTCATTAACCTTGAGCATCATAAACTAAACATAACGTCCGAGATCCATTTCCCCCCGCCCCTTATCAATCCTCTCTCTCTCATTCAAGCACCAACTTATAACTCGCCACCTCAAACGCCCTAACTTCAATCTCAACACCCGTCTCCATTGCCTCCGCATCCCCCCCAGTCCTCAGCGAACAAATCCTCAGCGCCTCACCATTCTCCTCTTCATCCTCCAGCGCATTCACCTTGACAACCTTTGTCACATTCAAATTGCCCCAGGTCAAAACACCTTTACTCTTGCCACCAAGCGCATCGTAAATGCGGAGAATAACGCTGTGGCCCTTCTTAACTGGCAACTCACCCCTGGATACATCCTCGTCGTCTTCACCGCGCTTAATGGTATCGAGAACGAGGTTTGGAGCGTTGTAAATGTGGAATGGATTGAGGAGGCTGGTGTCGTGATTATCCTGCGTGGTACCTACAATCTTGAGGGGGTTGTTGAATTCAAACGCTTTTCGAATGGTGCGGTGGTCCAGCGGGCCTTCGTGGGGGAACATGGCGTAGCGCGTCTTGTGGTTGCCCATGTCTGCGTGGGCATCGGGAGCTTTGGGGGCGCGGAGCAGCGAGAGACGCATTACGTTGCCTGCGGTTGCGAAGCCGTACTTGTTGTCGTTGAGGATGGAGACGCCGTAGGTGGCTTCGGAGAGGTCGGCCCATTTGTGGCAGCAGACTTCGAATTTGGCCATGTCCCACGAGGTGTTGTAGTGTGTGGGTCTGCGCACGATACCGAATTGCGTCTCGTAGCTGGCCTCGGTGTTGACAATGTCGACGGGGAATTCCACCTTGAGGAACTTCATCGTCTCGTGCCATTCGATTTCGGCGTCGAATTCAATGGCTGATGGAGTGGCACCAGCGGCTGGCAGAGACATTGTTGTCTTGATCCACGACTTCTCTGAGATCTTGGTTTCGACTTCCAGGCTCACACGGTGAACGCTATTTTCTGTGATAGTGACTTTGCTGGGCTTGAGCTCCTGGCGTGATTTCAAATGGTAGACTTCTACATCCCAAGCCTGCCAGTAGAGTGGCTTGTCGTCAAAGATGACAAGCTGACCGGCTTTGGCGCCCTTTGGAATGAGCTCACGCTTAGCTTGAATATCGAAGAGTGAGGTGATAGCGCCATCTGTAACCTCTACCTCAAACTGGGAGTTACGCATCTGGTAGACGTTGGGACGAATCTCTTCAATGAATGCCTTGGATGGAGGGATACGGGAAACCATAGGAGCAATCTCCAAGGCTCCAAAGCCCTTGTCCGATCCGTTGCTGTAGGCGAGGCCATATCTGGTCTCTTCTCGACCGTACACGGATTGGCGTGCCTCAGCAGGAAGTTTGATAACCTCACAGCGATTCCATGGCAGAGTGTTGATGGCCATGAGCTTGGTGTTTTCGTTCAAGGTGGTCTGGTCGCCAAAGCCCAGCTCAGCCAGCGCGTCAGAAAGCAGTTTCTCTCCGGTAGCGAAAACCGACGCATAAATCTACAACAATCAGCAATGTCTTGTGGAGATGTTATAGGCAACGACTTACGCGGTCAGAATCATCATAACACATCTCAATCGAACTTCCAGGCAGACAATCGTGGAACTGACATAACAGCACATTCTCCCACATGTCATCAATCTCCTTCTTCGGATACTTGTATGAGCTCTTCTTTCCGAAGCCATTCTTGATAGTTGCCAAGGTTGCAAGGTATTCGATATCCCTAAGCATAATCTCAGACTTTCTGTTGTTGCGTTTGTTGTTTGCCTGGGTGGTGTATGTTCCACGGTGGAGCTCAAAGTATAGCTCGCCGTACCATGTTACCAGCTCGTCACCACTGGCCACCTTCTTTTCCAGACGGTCGAAAAAGTCATCGGCAGAGTCACCGAGCTTGATGCGAGGCAGCAGTCCGGTAGTGTCGCTTATACCACGGCAACGCCTGAGCTTCTCCAAGTGCTGCCATGTTGGGCCACCACCTCCGTCTCCCTTTCCGAAAACAAGCAGCGAGGTTTTGTCCTGATCAAGAGACTTGTGTTGTGTAACGCTGCGTTTGACATCACCAAAATTGGCTTCGCATGTGTATGTTTCGCAGGGCGGCATGTGGCAGATGACTTGGCTGTTGTCGAGTGAAACCCAGTTGAAAGTGGTGTGGGGAAAGTTGTTGATATTGTTCCAGCTGAGCTTTTGTGTCAGGAAACGAGTCATTCCTGAGATGCGGCAGATTTGCGGAAGCTGTGAGGAGTACCCGAAAGTATCTGGCAGCCAAAAAGTGCGACAACGCTGGCCAAATTTGCTTTCAAAGTAACGCTGGCCGTACAAGAACTGCCTGATTAGCGATTCTCCACCGGGTAGGTTAGTATCGTGTTCGACCCAGCTACCGCCAATCGGCT